TGTGCTTCAACATCGCCCGTAGAAAGAAGAAGTCTTTCTTCGTCAGTGAGCTCGTTCACCCTCAAACCATCGATCTGGTCAAGACTCGTGCCGAAGGATTTGGTGTGGAGGTCATTGTCGGTGACCACAAGACATATGACGTCGCTGCGAACAAGGACCTTTGCGGTACCTTAATCCAATACCCGGCCACTGATGGATCCATTGATGACTACGAACCATTCATCGCGGCAAGCAAATCTGCTGGTGCCAAGGTTGTCATGGCCACTGATCTTCTTGCTCTCACAACTCTTAAGTCACCCGGCTAGATGGGTGCCGATTTCGCTGTCGGTAACTCCCAGCGCTTTGGTGTTCCGATGGGATACGGAGGCCCTCACCCGGCTTCCATTCAGAGAACTTAAATTTCGCTGATTCTCATCTGCTGCGCTAGCCCCTGCGATCGTTGAAGCCGATACAAGAGAGAAGGACTGGCGCGCCCTGTTTCGATTCCCTCCTCGCAACAGTAGCAACTCGTTCGGCAACGCGGTCCTTCCCTGCTTCCTCCGCGTGGCCGACCCTTCTCTCCCTCTCTTCCAACTTGCGCACCCACGCATGTAGCCTCCCCTGCTCGACGCCCGAGTACTTCAAGCTGGCGAAGAAGGAGCGGGAGGGGCGGGGATGAACACGAGCAGCGTGAGGGCTTCTTGGAATTGACAGGGACTTTAACTAGCTCCCTCACTTCAGCCACGCGCAAATTTTTTGCTTCATCTCCGCCAAGGAGACGAAGCACATCTTCGGTTAATGCGAACGGATACCTTGAAGCGCTATCATGGACAATACCACGGTTGCAGTCCAGCGCAACGCAATGATCTACAATTCCGTGTTCCACTATTCGGACTATCCACACGCCTTGATTATGGTGCGCAAGCCACTTGAAAGGATTTGCATCGAACGCCTTCTTCACAGCTTTAGGAACTCGGCGCACTGATAGTTGAGCGGGAATTTGGTGAACCAGAGAAAAGAGTTGCTTGAGTGTTTTGATCTTCATCGGATGCTTCCGAAGGTACTTGTCGACGCTTGTTCCTCCTGTGGTACCATATAGCGCACAAGTGCCGTTGGACAGCGCAGCCGACACGCATGAATCGTCGTTGCTGCGCACGAGGTTCGGGCCATACTGGTGCACCTCAAACCTTCTTGATCCAGTGATTTGACCGCGTGCCCCAATACCACCGATGAGTATCGGTACACCGCGATGGGCCATCATCCACGCATACAGTCAACGGAACATCTCTTGCAAAAACTTTCTCTTGCGCGGCAAGTCGTTGGTACCATCATCTATAGCGTTTAATAGAGCCTGCATCGTGTGGAGGGATAGTGTAATCGAATTGGCATCGATAGGCCAGAAACTTTCGTCACCGCCTGTCAATCCGGCGGCAGCGTACAAAACGCCGTCTTGCATTTTGTGGCCGCTTGCCCCTTGTCGGCCATCACCAATCATCACCCTGTCAATCGCCCAGCTCATGGTGTCCAAGAATACTAGGAATGTTGCACCTCCCCGGAGATCTGCACAAACTTCCGTTCTTAATGGACACGCGTGAGATGGGCGCCGGGCTCTTTGGTGCGGGTTCCGGGTCACTTGGAGACGCGGCCGCGGTGCACCGTGCTAGAGGCAGGGTGAGCAAGGCGATGAAGAAGACGGGTGAGGGCATTGCGGCGAGATGTGCGGGGGGGAGCTGGGGAACGTAGACGACGAAAAATGGCGGGTTCAGAAGGCAGAACGTACGCCGCGTGACCGCGCGTCACCGTATGCCACTGTGGTGGGCACTGGGCGGCCTCTATAGCCACACTATATTGTTTCAGTTTTGAGAGCGCTTTATCCAGCGCGAAACCGTGCGTTGGCGTGCTTTTATAGGGGTGACATTGAAACAATCATGCATTTCTAAGGCGACTTTTCTAACATTTAGGTCTCTGCCGAAATGCCACGATGGTATACGTTTTTATAGGGTGAAATCCCCGAATATGAGTTTGTCGGAGGTGACTTTACGATCGTTTTTCTGTCACCCTAGAAAATGGACATTGTCACCCCATGCAGAGGACACCATGGACCAAAATCACCCTACTAGCAAAGCACTTTTTAGTAGTGTCGCCCTATAAAAACCCCCACCGCATTGAAATCGCCCCACGTAGATTTCACTTTGGCCGGGTGTCGCCCCAAAATCTACACTTTGACCCAAAATAATATGAGGCATGGGGCGGGTTTTATGGGGGAATGCGTTTTTGGCATCGTCCCGTATCGAGATGTGCACACGCGTCGCGATAGGGAGTGATCTCACTCGCTATCCTCACATCGCCTTACAGTACTCTCAAGAGTAAGGCGATGTGAGGATGTCAGTGTTTGATACAGATGCAGATGACATGTGTACGCGACGGTGCATAGTGACATTCAGTATTCCACAACAGTACCCTTACTACAAGTCATGTAGATGTCTTTGTGTGGAGGGACGTGGTTGTGCGCCGGTGGATTGGTCATTGCGAAAATCGTAAGAGCGGTTGTTTTTTTCAGCGGTGGGCAGAGGCATCGCTGCCGGGCTGTATACCGCAGTAATTGCGCCGGAAACGATACAAAAGTGTCAAGCTGCGGCGCCGCTCTCGCACGAATACAGTGCGGCTATGGATACCGTGGTAAGGCTTTACGTACCTGTTTGATGGTGGTTTCCGGTGTCGCGGTCTCATGAGGGCAATCCATTTGTATGTGCGAATTCAGTAGCAAGGGCTGACGTGACCGCCGTGGAGGGGCGAAGGAGACGGCAGAAGACAGTCGCATAGACAGTAGATGTAAGATAGGACAGTAGATGTGGGACAATACAGTAGATGTAGAATCGGCACCCTTCGGCGTACCACAACGCATTACAGTACGGTGTATACTGTAGTTGGCAGCCAAGTGACATGAATGGTGCCCTTAAAAATGAATCTCGGGGCACCGTGCCCAAGGGCACGGGGCCCCGGGATTTCTTTTTGCGGATTACGTTTGCCACAAACTCTGAGTGGTAGAGGACATGCCTTGGCCCCGTACAGCGTTCCTCACGGTAGCACTTGTCCGAAAACCGCCTTCATCTTCGGCCAACCGCCTTTCATCTTCTACTGGTAATGTTACCTTCGAAGGTACCCCTCGACGTGTACGGGCGTATCGGCTCGGGTACGCTCAGAGGGCTCCAACTCGGCTCTGATTTCCTATCCAGTCGTACTGGACGTTGCCCCACCTCTACTCATCTTCAAATTAGCACGATTCTTACTTCTCTCGTCCTTCAATACACCGCCCTATCCGTCAATCGCCGCCGGATTCACGCATCTCTTGCACCTCTCCATTAAGGGCCGGCCGCTTCTGCGCCCTGGCTCCCCCGTTCTAGTTACAATAAAGGTCGACCATTCAAGGCACCCCTCCTTTACCGCACCGCCCCCTCTGCACGCTGTGCACCACCATACACTCCTTTAATCGTGTGTCCTACACACCGGGCCCATCTTCCATCCTTACACACGCCGTAGACATCTATCAGTACCTCACCGCGCCCTCTGTACCCTCTGTACGGTGTATACCACACTACGCTTCTTTAATCGTGTCCACAACACACCGTGTCCATCTTCTGCCCTCCCCGCCTTACACATCGTTCACTACCCCATCGCGCCCTCTGTATACTGCGTACCACCCTACACTTCTTTAATCGTATCTCCTACACACCCAGTCCACCGCCTTTCCTTTTCCCGCGCCTTATATATCTTTCAGCACCCCACACCACCTGTAAAGCACGCTACGTACCTGCCCGCATAGTACCACAATCCGCACCTCAACCCGCCACGCCGAGATCTACCGCATCCACCCCCACGCACCCATCAGCTCCGCCATCTACAGTACTCACGTACTGATCACTGTCATGCGCAGATGCCTGCCTTAACATCCGTTGACACCCACCTCCCGCAACCGACCCCCCGTCCCCACCCCCTTCCCGTACGTCCCCACCCCTATTTCCTCACCGCCATGCTCAAGCCGCGCACCGTCTCCGTCTGGTGCGTCGTCTTCGCCGCCGTCGCCGCCCTCACCGCCGTCGTCCTGCACGAGGAGCTCCCCTTCCTGCGCTCCCTCAACCCCCGCGCCCAGCCCGCCTGGTACGGTAAGCCCGACAGTATCGACAGAGTCGAACAGGCGAAAG